TCTCTCTCTCTCTGTGTGTGTGTGTGTGTGTGTGTGTGTGTGTGTGTGTGTGTGTGTGTGTGTGTGTGTGTGTGTCCGTGTGCGGCCGTGTATCACCCCCTCTATCCTCGATTGGTACTCGTTTTCTCACCGTCACTTGTCCTATTTCACCGCTTCGATCGCGAGTGCAGCATAATCCTGCTTCTTCATTGTTTCCGGTAGCAAGGCTTCGGGAGTGCTTAATCCATCCTGCTTGCCAAGCTACTTCCGATAATGGATACTGCTGAAACCGAGTGCCTGCTTAGTTAGAAGAGCATACTTTCACCAGTCCGTTTCTCGCGTTGCATGAGCCGCCTCCTTCTCTCCTTCGTTCCCTCACATCCCTTCCCCTCACCCCTTCCTTCTGTCTGGCAGTCCTTTAAGAGAAATGATGACAAACGCTTAGCACCGGTGATTCAGCTTTAAATTATGACTCTGGCTTCTTAGTACTTACCGTTTTATGACTCTTCGCTTTGTCTTGTGCCACACACAATTAAGAAATTGGGTTCTCCTCGACCACGACTCCCCGAGCTATACCGCCTGAGCTCCTCTCTCTCTCTCTCTCTCTCTCTCTCTCTCTCTCTCTCTCTCTCTCTCTCTCTCTCTCTCTCTCTCTCTCTCCCCACTCGCCGAAGACCTGAATTGTTACTGCTGAGGCGCTAGAGCGAAAGCGAGCAGTTGCGTTGCAGTAGCTCATTACAGCTTATTGCGTAGCATTCGGTGGAGGGTTATCTTCCACCGGCAGCGTCGCGAGAGTCAAGTTCCGTTGCACCTAGACTGTAGAGACTAAGTACCGGCTACTACTGATTGCCATGAGTTAGGTTAGGAAGCTAGGATCATTCGTCTGAGACCCCGCCTCGTTGCGAGTTTCGGTCTGGTCGCTTCCGTCTGTGCTTGATGCAGAAATCAGAGCAGGCAACGGCAGGGAGGCTGCATCGCCATTTTCCAAGGTGTTGGCTCCCGGCTGTCCTCATGCACTGTCTCTGTGTCGGATGCCCACTCCACTTCTCCCCTTCCCTTGCCCAGTCTCCACCATGCTGCCAACTGATTCTATGACCTCTGCCCTTCGGCGATCTCCTCCTCTCTTTGGTGGTTTCTTCAGCGAATGCAGCCAGCAAGTTCATTGGCGACAACTCATCATCCTGAGCGCTCTGCAGCTCCCCCGTGGCGCACCGACTTCCTGCCAAGCCCTCTGCACTCCCCTGCGACCCTTGGGTGATTGCCTGGGCGTTCCTCCTTGCCTTCGCTAAACTCGCTTGCAGCTTCGTCTTGAGATGATACGAACAAAATGACTGCCCCTTCAGAGCCGGAATTGGGCACCTCCACCCTTTGCCATCCGACCGCTTGCACTTGCCTCCATCCTTCTCGCTCTTCTGACGAGTTATCTTCTGAAGCTGCAGGTGTCTTCGCTCCAGCTTGGGCTCAGCTCGATAAAGAATGCTTGGAGGAAGGGGAGGGTCAGGTACGACTCTCTCTTGCGCCCCTGAAACCTCACAATGGCCCGACTCCGAGTTGGCATACTCCTCACTGACGCCTGACAGTGCCTCGTATCCCGCCTGCCCTCCAGCGGTTTTCTGACGTACGCGGTCGTCGTCTTGGCCCTGCTCCTGGTGCTGGTTATGGTACTCCTCTTCGGCCTGTTCCTCGGCTCGTGGGTATTGATCTGCACCTTCATGTTTGTCCCGGTCGTGGTCCCGGTCGTGGTTCTGGTCTTGCTCTTGGTCGTGCAGTTGCCCTCGGCGCCAGTCCATGTACGATTCTTGGTTGTGGTCTTCGTCTTGTTCCTGGCCCGGGCTATGGCACTGGTCTTCATCCTCTTGCTGGTCTTGATCCTCTCCCGTAACGTCTTCGTCGTCGCAGTCTTGACCTTCACCGCCGCCTGCTGCTTCCGACTCGCACACTGAGGCTGAGGGGGTATCCACTTTACTCGACGATTCGCCGAATCGGATTGTGCTTGTGACCATAGACTCGGCATGGGTTCTGGAAGCTACATTATAGCATGTGGCCTCCACATGGGATCCCATCCCGTCACCGGCGTCACGTAACCCAGCAGACCGATGGTCCCGCCGCCTCGGAACCTGTCTTACCAGGTTAGACTCGCTGACAGTTCGCATATCATCAAGGTGCGAGTTTTCTTTCACATGGCGATGTCTCGGTTGGGTGCGCGTGTCCTCACCCCTCGCGATCCCAGTTCTTAAGCCCTCCGCTTCCTCTGCTCTGTCAGTCTCCTCCGATTTCCCGTCTTGGCAATCAACACCTTCGAAATGTAGCTCTGTCCCCTCCTCCTCCTCCTCCTCCTCCTCGTCATTATCATCCTGAGTGAAATAACGATCTTCGTCCTCACCATCATCACGATCTTCGTCCTGGGTGTACCGTTCATCACCACCATCATCGTCCTCGCCGCCATCGCCATCGCCATCGCCATCCTCGTCGTCTCGAAGGGTTGCCAGCTGCCCCAACTCAAGGAGCTGTACAGACGTTGCTGTTGAGCGAGCCTTCCCGTTCAGAGACGACGAGCACCTTCCGGCTCTCCTTGCAGTGACACGTGGCGGCTGCGCTGGCTGCTTCACAGTGATCGAACGGTTGTTTCTTTCCGACGACGTCGTTGATGCGGGGCCCCCGCTCCCACCGCAGACTGTCCGCATCCCTTCCTTCACCTGCGGGCAACCTTGTCCTTCGTCGCATTTGCCACATGGATGGAGTGGCGCCGTGGTCTCTCGACCGGCTCGCGAGCAGCGACTGCCATCGACGTGCTCCCGGGGTCCTACTGGAGGGCGGAGCACTGGCAGCTCGCGTCCGCCCCCCTTTCTGTTCACGCCAACTCTTCCAGTGCTGCTGTGACCGCTGCTGCTTCCTCTCTTACGCTTTTGCGAGACCCGCTGTCGAGCGACGTGTGAAGTGGGCACCTGTTGTTGCTGCCGCTGCTGCTCATGATGATGCCCATGACGATCCTGATGCGCAAGCTGCGGCTCTGCCGCGATAACCAGAGGATTCTCTGCTCGTGCCTTCGACGCGGACACTTGCATCACGCGTGTCATGGACCGCGTCTTCTTAACCCTTCGAGGCCTCTCGTCATCGTCTCCGGCTCCCTTTTCGGGTTGCTCCTGATGGTATTCGTCATCTTGGAGCTTGCCCTCAGCAACTCGGCGATAACAATCCCGCGCCGAGTCCACGCCCGCTTTCCAATCGTCGAAGGAGGGCGACGAGGACGGAGCAGAAGCTGGCGATGCGAGCACGGACTTGAATCGCCCACAGCTTGGCGGCGACTTCGACTTCCAGCTCCAGCCATTTCGGGAGCTCCTGGTCTGCACCCGCTGGTTAATGATCATCTCGAAGATGGCTTCGCCGTCAGAATAGATCCGAGATTTTTTCGGCCAGCCAGAGTATCTGACTGCGCAGACTGTTGCTGGCCGTTTCTCAGCCGTCGAGGACTCCACTCTTGCACAAATCATCGTCGGACTCGTTCCTGATCGCGTATGTATGGTGCTTCTTCCTCGATCGATAGAACGCGCTCCCTGCCCCCCCCCGCGACGCGGAAGCCGTGGCTCTTCAAGCTCGTCATCCTCTTCTTCCGTGAATCCGCCCATGGATTTCCGTGCCTTAGCGTCCGTGCGGCCTTGCTGCTTTCGCTGCCCGACGTGGGCATCACCCTCCTCCTCCTCCTCCTCCTCCTCCTCAATCACATCCCGTCCCTCTACAATGTGGTCCCCATCCACCTCGTTGTCCACCTTATCTTCGGCGCCCCCCGTTTCCTCCTCTTCCTCGTCGTGCAACTCGTCTGCGTTTTCAACTTCGCAATGAGGCTCCAAGTCCGTCCTCCAGCCATTGGCGTCGGCCATGCTGGCCGTAGCTCGACACGCAGTCCTAAAAATCATCTTTTAGGATTCGTCCTAAAACGTCTCCCGCGGCCTGTTTTCATATTGGTAAAAGGTCTCCCGCGGCCTGTTTTCATATTGGTATACGCAGCCGCATAGCCGATGTCCGTCAGGTCCTGGCTGGTGTCCGTGGTACACATTGCAGAGGCCTTGGGCGGGTGAGGAGGGGTGGGTGAAAAGCGCAGTCACCCCGAGCTTCAAAAATTCAAATTCGAATTCTCGCGGACGCAGGGCGGCGGGGCGGAGGACGGCCAGGCGACGCGTGTGACGTACAAATGACGGCGCTGGCGAACCGTTCGGCGTGGGTCTCCGTCTTCCGACTCCACACAAGTTGTGACCAGCGGGGGCATCTTCCTGCAAGGCGCATCTTCACCTCCGCCGTGCGTCTGTGTATACCGCCGTACGTATACAGCCCATCCGTACGTACGGGCCCTCCAGTGCCCGTACGGCCCGTACGTATGGACTTGGGGCCGTCCGTACACGGCCTTCCGGAGGGGTGCTCGGGGGGTGGACGGGCTGGGGGGGGGTCGGGTGTCAAGGGGTACCCCCCCATTCAAAAAAACAGTAAAAAAAAAGATGGTTTTTTTTTTTGGGTCCCGGGTGATTTTTTTTTATTTTTTTTTTGATTTATTAATTGGTTGATTGATTGATTGTCATGATTGATTGTTTGATTGATTGGTTGATTGATTGATTG